GTATTTTATTATTTCCGTAACTTTATTTTAAACATTTGAATTAGTACTTAATTAGCTATTACGTGAGTACTTGAAATTTTGAAAGTATATTTACTAGTTTAATTCGTTTTATTGGATAAATACTTACACAAAAATGATCGGATTTTATTTTTATATAAAAAAAATTAAGAAGAAAAGGTCATTTTTATAGTATAACACATACTAGTTGAACTGTTAGTATTGGTGAAGCCCATTATTCGTTGCAAGGTGAAGCATATCACTATGGAAGCTCCTAGATGTAGTGATATAAGACTAAAACTCTTAAGTAAATTATCATGTGTATATTTTAGAGATGGTTGAGAAAGAGGGAATATGTAGCGAGCACAAGAATTCTATAATTTGGCAGAGTAACAACTTATAAATACAATGGATGAATGAGTATATATAGGTGGGGGAAATATTCTCTAATAATGCTGAGAGATAGAGCTATAACCATATTTATCTAAAACTTTACTGTTGTGAGTGAAATAGTGCACCACCAAGGTGTACGATAACGAGCTCTATAAGAGATGAGGGATCCTCTATTACAAGGGTCTAAAATTTTCACTTTACGAAAGCAAAAAAGTGACCCCTTAAATATGTTGGGTATTGCTCATACTTCAGATGCTGATAAGAGTCTTTGTTGTTAGGGTCAGTAGAAAGGCAACTGGTGTCCCACTGCCCCCAGACTCGTAGAGGCTAGGTACTATTGTGGGCCTTTGATTTATTATAAAAAATATTTCTTAGTAGTTTGAGTTTGGGCTTATTAATAACTGTTGTTAGGGTTTTCCTATTCTATTGTTAGAGAGATATAAAATCATTAACTTAGCCTCACCAAATACCTTAAGGTTTTGGTTGAAGTGGTTCTTTTCATGGTATCAGAGCTTCAGTGACCACGAGGTCACGAGTTCAATCTTCACCACCTCCACTTTCAGGTGGAATTAAGAAAACTCTAAACCCTAAACCAAAAAAATGGGCTTGTGCAACAAGGCAGACCAATAATGAGCTTGTGTCATATCCACGCTTCAAGCTCTTACGTGAGGGGGTGTGTTACAGAGATATAAAATAATTAATTTAGTTTCATCCAATACCTTAAGATTTTGGGTTGAAATGGTTCTTTATCATCTATTTATATTCTCCTTGTAAACCGAGTGATTTGTAACAAGTGGCCGAGAGGTGAATATAATACAGACAAACTGGACATAGCCTAGCCTAAATTAAGTGAATCAGGATAAATCATTATGTCAATTCTTTTGGGCTTCTTCCTTCAATGCTAAGCCCAAGCCCATTTGAGGGGTTTCCTAAAAACCCTAACCCTAATTTCCATCTCCTCTATATATACTCATTGTTGTGGGTGGAGGCTAGGTCAGATTTGAGAGGTCAGATTTGAGAGAACAAATTTGAGAGAAAAAATTGTTTGATTATTTGAGTAAAGCTTTATGCTTTGCATTTGAGAGATCTCTAGAGAGAGTTTGAGTGAAACATCTCTAGGGTAGTTTGATTATCACCATTGTTGGAGAGGTTGAGTTAACCACCACATTGGTGTATTTGATTATTTGTAACCATTATTTTCATAGTGGATTTCTGATCTGGACTAGGTCCCGTGGGTTTTTACTTCTTCATTCAAGAAGGTTTTCCCACGTTAAAACTGGTTGTGTTCTTCTTCTCTCTCTCTCCTATTTTGATTTTTTCGTTTTTGATTGTTCCGCTGCTCTGCTCGACCTGGTGAAGTTCAGGCCGAGGTATTGCCGAGATCCGAGATCAGGATCTTGTTGATCGACTTCCGCACAAAGGCTGCTTAGCTGAGCTTGAGGGAACCGAGTTTTCCCAACAAATTCTCTGTCTCTCTCTCTTCATTTAAGATTTGTGTATAATTATCGATTTCCAACAAAATAGACCTCAAGTCAATCTGTGGACTTAAACTGTAAAAAGTAAAAGAAATAAAAATTACATCTATAATTAACACTATGCTATACTCAGATTGAATGGCACCCAAATGAGAGTATTTTAATTTTTAAGATTCAATCTTAATTTCTAACATTGTTCCTCTTTATTTTCCACAAATGCTTTCTAGTTATTTCATATAAGTAACATTGTTAGATATCAGACATTTGGTCAAAGTCCCACTACCAGGTGTTGCAATTGATTTTTGCTAATTAAGAATTAGCTAGTCATTGTTTTCCTCAAGAAAGGTATGCCTATATGTGTCTTTCTCACATGCTGCCCAACATGGCTTTGCCTCATTTGATCTCATTTCTATTCGCTAACGTAATTGAATTAAAATTTAAAGGATATGCATGGTAGCTTCAAACTTTGCAAAATTATCGAAGAAAATAATACCAATTAAATATGAACACTAAAAAAGTGAACTTTTGTTGATAAAAAGAAGGGAAGACTGTGGAGCTTATCATTGACTTTATGGCTCGAATTGGTTGCACATGGGTGAGTAATGATATTCCTTAAACATCCTATTATTATATTAAAAGGTTTAAGTTAATTAGACTTCGACAATAATCTAATAAACTCCTTGAATTCCTTTGAAAGATAATCAATAATCTTATACAGGCCACAAGTTTCACATTTGTTGAGATATATAGTCCCACATTGGTTGTATGTGCAACTAATGTGGAGTTTATAAAGCCTTGGGCACTCCCACCCTTTGAGCTAGCTTTTGGGGTGGTGTATCCCAAGGTTCTTTACATGGTATCAGAGCCTCGCCGCCCCCCACTTTCTCTTGTGGCGTTTCTTAGGACAGGTTGGCTGGGCCTGTTGCATTGTCCACTCTTCAAGCCCAATGGGCTCTTGTGTGAGGGGGCGTGTTGAGATATATAGTCCCACATTTGTTGTATGTGCAACTAATGTGGAGTTTATAAGGCCTTGGGCACTCCCACCCTTTGAACTAGCTTTTGAGGTGGTGTATCACAAGGTTCTTTACAACACTCTTCACTCATATCATAAAATATCTTAGGCAAATTGAAAAAAATAAAATTCAGAGTGGAAAAAAGTTTATAACGCAATAAATAATTTGGTAACTGATTATTATATTGCAGTTTTGGACGAAATTAAAGAGAAGAAAACAAAATGTCGGTGTAACTGAAATTCTTAAGGAATGGCATTCAATGAGATAGATATTTCAGATTGGTAAATTAATTCCACTAAATAATGATCAAGTTTTCTAACTGACAATCATTAACTATTTGTGTAATAAGTTTATTATATGATTGGGTTAAATTCGACAGTTATAATTACATGATATAACCGAGCCTTACATATAGCCATGAATAAAAGAATAGGTTAAGGAAATAAAAAGAGAAGTATGATATATCAGATAGGATATTGTGACAACCAAATAATGTTACTACCAATGTTACTACCACATCTTAACCGTTGATTTTCGCCAATCAACGGTTATCATTTATTGCGAATTAATAATTAATTAATGAGTTTGATTTGAAAAATGATAACCGTTGATTGGCGGAAATCAACGGTTAAGATGTGGTAGTAACATTGGTAGTAACATTATTTGGTTGTCACAATATCTTATCCCATGATATATATATATATATATATATATATATATATATATATATATGGAGAAAGTTATATTTACAAATTTTTTGTTTACAAAACTACACTATGTCTGACTGGTAATACACTCTTGCGTGAAATATTATCGGTCAGACATAGTGTAATTTGTAAATATTTGCAAAAAAAAATTTGTTAACGGATCATTCCCATATATATATATATATATATTGTAAGATTCAAAATTAGATTTTTTGTTTTCATAATATAATTAAATCATAAAATATAGGAGCAAGAGCAGCAGAGCATGCTTCCTAAGCATGCAGCCAAATGAGGAATGAATACATTGGGCATAGTACCCACATAATTACTAATGATAAACCTAAGTAGTTTATTCTAAAAGATCTTAGCTTCTAGGCTAATAATCAAAAAGTTCATGGAGCTCCTCCCACCTGTAATGATCATCAGAATGTGCAACTGATCAGTTCATTTGAACTTTTTTTGGTTCCTCCTCTGGGCTGATCAAATTATTGAGAAAGGCATGGAGATAAAATTTTATATGGATTTGTTTACCAAAAAAAATAAAGATATATATGGGTTCTAGTATCTTAAATAGATTGTGTGTGGATAGTCTATTTTTGATTTGTTCCTCATTCATGTACAATCCATGATTTGATAGAAAGGTCACATGCAGCAAATTTGGACTATATGGGGCTTATTCCTTAGTAGTTAGTACTAAACATTAAGACTTATTTAACGTTGGCCAATTCAAAACAAAGAACAACTAATTTGATTGGAGAACAATCATGATGAATGGGGTATCAAGGAGAACATGCTAATCATGGGTCATTAAGATTTCTAATTATGCCACCCACTAATTATATAATTTTCTTTTCTTCTCCTAATTAAAATAACAATTATATATTAAATATTATTACATCCCTATTTTATCCCATCATTTGAAACTCATTTCTTACAAACTGTTTCATTATAAAGGGTAGAATTTAAATGATTAAATGAATAAAAATTTTAAAACTGCTGCTAAAAATACACTTTGTGAATGATTGAACTCCTTTGAAGAGTCAGTGATGGATTCTGTTGCCCAGTGTGCCCTTTCATTGTTCCTTTTCCCCTTTCTGATAATAGATTAGATTACTCAATTATGAGAGAGATTATCTATACATGCGTGGATAAAGCTTTGAGGGAATTAAAAAGGGCACGTGTTGACACTCATTCATAGAAGGAAGAGGGCAAATATGGAAAATAAGAGAATGTGAGGGGTTAAAATGGGGATTTTATCAACCTGGGTCTCTCTTATTTAAACCATGCACTCTCACATGCTGACTCCACACAACACAACAAAAACGAAAGAGGAAGGAAACAACAGAAAAAAAGAGAGTCGCAACTCACAAATACTAATACTTACTAACCCTGTTTCGTCGTACGTAAGTGTGATGATGAACTCCTCCTCGTCGTCGTCGTCGTCGTCGTCCAAGGGAAAGAAGAAGCAAACGGCGGCAACAGTACCAACTACGAAAACGACACAAGAGCAGCATCAAACGGCATGGAACGGGAGGTACCTTGGTGTGAGGAGGAGACCATGGGGGAGATACGCGGCAGAGATTAGAGACCCTTCAACCAAAGAGAGACACTGGCTTGGAACCTTCGACACCGCCGAGGAAGCAGCACTTGCATACGACGCCGCAGCACGATCCATGCGCGGCTCACGTGCCCGAACAAACTTCGTATACCCCGACACTCCTCCTGGTTCCTCAGTCACCCCAATCCTTTCCCCAAACCACAATGTTCACGACACATTCGTGACAAACGTGGGACTTTATCACTCACACTCGAATTTTCAACACATTGTCCTTCCCCAACAACCCGACCCGATTCCAACGATGGACCCTGTTTCCCTCCTGGGAATGCCTTATACCTACGGTGGTTATGGTCAAGAGAATAATTATCATAATCAGGGTGGTGCCAACGTGGAGGGTTCCTATTTGAACCAAATGTTTTTTGACGATAGCACTAGCACTAGCACTAGCATTATTAGCACTAACACGATAGAGCTTCCACCTTTGCCACCGGATATTACAAGCTCCACCGGTTATGAGATGGTAGAGGATCAAGGGTATTATTGGGAGCAGAATTTGGGTGATTACATGCATATACCCACGGTGTCAGAGAATGTGCCACGCCCTGAAGGTTTTGATATGGGAAGCTCCTCCTTTTTCTACTGAAACTCTCTTTTCAAGTCAAGAATTTAGGCCTTTTAGTGCAATGCATGGGTTCGTGGTTTTTATGTGAGTGTGTGAGAGTTTGTTTTTATTTTTATGTAAATTAAAGTGTTACGTTGCGGTGAGTTTTTATGTTACGCGGATGAATCAAATCGTGAATATGATGATGATGATTATTATTATTATTTTGGTCCTAACACACAATTGTTACTTGAGGTTTGTTTTTTGTTAAATGAAAACGAGATAATGAGAACAATTGGTCAGGTCCTCTCTTACTGGATTTTATTGCTAACTCGATAATTCTTTAACCTAGCTAGGCCTGCAATCCCATGATTTCTTTTTTGCAATGATGAATAGCGTTTTGCATTCTTTGTCAAATTATAAAGTCTCTTCTCTTTGTGTTAAACTTGTGGGCCATGGGCTATTTCAAACTTCAAATTCTGCGTGTTTTGGATTGAATTCTTACGTTGTTTAAGATACTTTTACTATTCTTAATTTATATGATTTAGCGATATAGCGAGCAAGTCCAATTCAGTTTTGATTTGGACCTTTATTTTTGTTAGCCCACTTAGAAGCCCAAATGTCTTTGGGGACTGTTGACACTTGTCCCTTGGGACACTTTCTTACCCCATGCGACGCTTGCAATTGCAAGATAACATGAGAAATTGCATCTTGCAAACATGGAATGTAGGTTCATGTGTGTTTGACAGCCCCAAATAGATAAATTGTTATTTTTCATATTTTTTAAAGTAATTAGTTTTATTTTTTTTTGTTTTTTTTGTTTTTTAAAAATCCGCAATGGTTTCTTAGCTAGATTTTAGCTGATGTTGGATTGCATTTGTGGACAAAAACACAATCATCCAAATACAGCATCTCCTTATTCTGTATGATTTTAAATTAGAATAGAAATTAAAACATAATAATTTGCTTTAATTTTGGGAGGTTTCAATACAATCATTATGAGTGAGACTAATTTTTGCTTGGGCGTTTTGAGATTGTCAATCTAAATATGCGTTTCTTTCACAAGTTAACTTTTAATATGGCATAAAGTTTTTTTATTGACTCAAGTTTGTTTTTTCTTATTATTGGTCACTCTTTCTTGGCCACCAAATTTTATGAAACGCTTATAATAATAAATTTTCTATTATTTGATGAAGTTGTGTATGTTCTATTAAATAATATATACCACTCTCTATTTAGTAAGATTCATATGAAATTAGTCCAATAAAAAAGGTAGGAAAAAGTGTGTATTATTCTAAGTTATCTCATTTTAAGTGAGAGAAAGAGATAAATCATGGAAGAAAAGATGGAGAGAAATTCTTTTAAGGAAAAATGTTTCTGCAGTTACTGCAGATAAGTTATCAGCATTTATTCCCAAAACGCATTTATTCCCAAAACGATGTCGTTTTGGTATTGAAATCTTAAAAAATTATGAATATAAAGACTATTATGACCCTGAAATAAATTAAAATTACAAAAACACCATGATTTCCGTCCCAAAACGACGTCGTATTGGGCTTACTGCAGATAACTTATCTGCAGTAACTGCAGAAAAAGCGAACCCTTCTTTTAAAGATGTGGGTCCCACCTTCATAATTATTTATTGTATTTGTTTTGTACCGTATCTCATATATTGCGCCCAAAATATAGATGGCTCATCATATAATTGTCAAGTAATTAACCCAGCAATAAGAAAAAAGTTTTCATTTCTTTTAGCAATTAAAGAAGGAAACAATTCCAATGTAATTCCTCCCTCAATGGTTCAGAGGAAGTTAACTTCCATGATTACACACTTAAACGAGCATTATAGACATGTGGCATCACTGAATAGTCTTAACATCATCGTTGTTCGAAAGTAACATGAATTCAGTTCAATCAATTAGGATATTGGTATGGTAATTAATCTAAAAATTAAGTAGGGACGAGATAATTTGAGAGAAATGCTTAATTCGTTTCATTCCTTTTACAACATTAAAACATGAAAAACAAAGTGTAATGCAATTCATACAAAAAAATTACAACTGCCAAGTAGATTATCAATCCAACGAATCTATTACAGAGGTTGTAACCCAAGAAGCATGAATAACAAATAAAATATTTATCACAAAGTGTTCAGTACAATTCCTAGAAACCATAACCTCTAAATACACTTTTTAGCACGACTGCCGCCTAATATCATCGTGCAATACAAGGTTTAGGCCAAATGAGGGTGAGTCACATACCTATCAAAATATTTCATTGAAGTTTTCATTTAAATTAATTATTTTTTATAAATAAGAAGTTTAATTTGATTCGTGTCGAACGGATGTGTCTTTTCTTGTCAAACAGATGTGTTGTTTCGCCGACAAATAGGTGCCTTTTGAATCGTGACGTTTCATTTTCTATAAATATATATAGAATCAAAATTTTAGAGAGTTTTTTTTTTCCATTGCATTTGCATTTGCATTCTTTCACTCTAGTGCGATTGGTCAGACATAGGTTGAGTTCGATGAGGCTATTCTATGTTGAAGTGTTGCCACGAGAATAAAAGTAATTTGTTCTATGCTGGGAGATAGTTGTCCACAAATCTTATGCACCATAGAGAAGGCAATATTGTCTTAAGGAAGCAATGTCTAACACTGAGCTCGAATTTTTTCTTGTCACATCCATATATATTTTTGTACGGTACACTTTAACCGTGTAACTTTGCATGTTTCTTTCTTCTTCTTCTTTCGGTAAACATGAATGTTTCAATTTGTTGTGTGCATTTCATGAAACTATGAATATTGTCAAAATAGTTTCTCTAACATAGATTATTCCTTCTAAATGATTTTTATCATCATTTTTCATGATTTTTATCATCATTTTTCTATCAATCTTAAGACAATATTTGTGAATATTAATCAGTGAATAGGAAATCTACTTTTAAGAAAATCTATTTTTTTAAAAGAAAAAAAAGGTTTCATATGAAAATCAATTTTGTCTTGTCTGTCACGGAAGACTTCTCGCAGATGAAATCTATGTTTTGGTTTCTTTGAATAGACAATTTTGGCAAATGAAAATAATGGAAATGTTTTTCGAAACTAGAGAAATTGGAATTTTTTGGTTGATTGCAATTGAAAATTGAATAAAAAGTTTAAGTATAATTCTTGATATTTGAAACCAAAAATTCTTGTTCAGCAATAACCGTTATCATAAAAGTTGGTTTCTTTTTACATGTACTGGGAACAGTGACCATTTTGCCACTGTTGGCAAAAACAATTACTAGACTGCCACGCAAAACAGTAAATTTTGCAAAAATGCCACGTGGCTTATTTCGCTACACTGTGTAGCGAAATATGTGTGCAAATAATTTGCTACACAGTGTAGCGAAATATGTCACGTCAGAATCAAAAATGCCATGTTGTAGCGAATTTCTCCAATTTTGACACATGGCATTTTGGTTCTGACGTGGCATATTTCGCTATACTGTGTAGCGAATTATTTGCACACATATTTCGCTACACAGTGTAGCAAAATATGCCACGTGGTATTTTGGCAAAATTTACTGTTGGCGTGGCAGTTTGGTAAATTGTTTTTGCCAACAGTGGCACTTTGGTCACTGTTCCCATGTACTACACATTAGATACCGCTTCAGAATCATGAATCAGTTTATATATATATATATATATATATATATATATATATATATATATATATATATATATATGGGTTTATCGTTTCTCAAGCTGCTTGAGATAATCTTATCTCCAGCTAGTTAATCATAACCATATAAAGATGGATCAATGGTGATAAAGGAAGAGAGAGAAAAAGGGAATCATAACCATTCAAAGGTGAATCAATTAATATAAGAAAATAAATAAATAAAATGACGTAATTTTGGGGTAGCCAGAGATAAACATATCTCAAGCTGCTTGAGATATGTTTTTCCCTATATATATATATATATATATCTGTGTGTGTGTGTGTGTGTGTGTGTGTGTGTCAATTTGATATCAAGTTTGAATGCATTGGTCATGGAGACATGGAGAACATTCCTTTAGGAAGAATGCTTTGGTTTGCGGTTTTTCGGAAATAAAATAAAATTCTTGTGTTTTCATTGATATATAAAGTTCCTTTTGGAAGGAACAAAAAGACTTAACAGCTTTTTGAGTGAGGCATTATAATAATGCATTGAATCACGATTGATTTATTGCTTGTTTTCTCAATCGGTGATTTATTTAGTTTTCCTTCACGTGACTGGTCCTTATTCATGGAGGGCTCACCATTATGATAGGTACCTGAAATGATGTCTCCAAGAAGGGATGAGATAACAACAATCTCAGTAAGCTCAATGTTTATAGAGAATCCTCCATTCCCTTGAATCCACTTCCTGCATGACATGTCAGATATAAAGTGTATATATATAATCATACAACATAAACATAATATCATATCTCATCATAATCTGCTATTCTAGGACTCGAACTTCGAATAGACAACATCCTGGCATGTCCAACATGCCTAGTGTGCAATAACTCTCAGAGTCCAATCATAGACAGTCTACACATAAATATCTGTAGAGTATGAAATGAACCAAGAGAATGACCCAAGAGCCTACATACTCACTCACTGGCCAGGATTCTCTTAATATACATCATCAGTGCATCATAACATAATGAATCATATAATCTCTATATGAATGTGAATGAATGCACATATACAACATATCTCATACTCTCATACAATGCAACCATAATGCCCACCATCATGGTGGAGTCACAAGAGAAGAGGAACATCCTAAACAAAGAGCTTACCTCAGAGAGCTATACTCAATGTCCTCACAAGCAAGTATCTCTAGGCACACATAGAGAAGGAATCATACATATCCATTAATTACATATTAATCAGTCAAGTAAATATACAAGACTTAGCCATTTATTGATTCCATTTCTTTTTTACATACTCATATGCCAATAATATGCCAACACAAGTCTAGACTATTAATTACATAATTACTTATTTTAGTTCATATAGAAGTGTTA